GGACGTTACTAATTTACTATTTTAACTGTTCTTATGTTCGACCCATTTTACAATATCCTGAAATTACCCCTCTTCGTTCTCCTGTACGCTTGCTCTCTTGCTCACTAATGGCGTGGGATAATGCTGCTACTCTCGATCTCCAAAACTGCAACTCCTGTTCAGTTCTTCTTGGGTCCATGATCCAATTGCTGGCCATTCATTTTATTTTCTCTCCTTTACATGCTCTCCTTCCTCCTCTTCTTCTTTCTTCTTCATCGCGTTCTTATAGAAGAAGAAGAAGGAAAGAGAGAAATGTTTCTTTGATTTTTTTATTGTTATTTTCATTAGTGATTGATCGATTTTTGGTGATGGCCAACTTTTTTGTGCTAAGTACCTCGTCATTTGGTCTACTTCTAAATGGCCAATGACTCATGCCGAAGTGGAGAACTTTGGCTGCCGAGTTGAATCGAGCTGGGCAGGCTAGGTGGCGAGCTGACTATAGTGCCGAGCTGCCTATGAGGTGTCGGGCTGACCAGGTGCTGAGCTGCTTGTGAGGTGCCGAGCTGCCTAGGTGCCGAGCTAACCAGGTACCGAGTTGCCCAGGTGCCAAGCTGCCAGTGAGGTGTCGGGATGACCAGGTACCGAGCAGCCTGGCGGTGAGCTGGATTGATGAGCTTCGTTGCTCTTTAGGGACCTGCAAGGAACCAAATGTCAGAGGACCCGGGGTGGCTAACCCGGCGAGGTCGCTCCGATGCTTAAGTCAGTACTCTCATAGTAGACTAACTGCGAGCTAAAAATCACAAAGTATGAGAGCTAGAATTTGCTTACTTGCTCACTTGCTATTGGGGTTGGTGCCTTTATATAGGCATTGTTTGGTGTGGGCTTCACGCACTATATCCAAGATTTCTACGAGGTCATCTAAGTAGTTTGAGATTCCTAGAGGTAACCGTCGTGCACGTTGACCACCCTCCGGATCGTTCGGCACGTGGGCCAACTTCCAAGGATCGTGGGAGTGTTAGGACATGCATGCCGAATTTGTCGGTGAGCACGTCTTGTAGGCCGCCAGGTCGAAGCCTGGGCTAGGTCGCTAGATCAGCGCCTCGGCCAGGCCGCTAGGTCACGCCTGGGCCTGGCCGCCAGGTCGTGCCTGTGCCAGGCTGCCAGGTGGGACACCATCAAGTTAGCTAAGGCAAGTTGTTGCCAAAGTAGTTCCGGGTGTCACCTAGTTGTTTTGAGGTGCCATGTGTCACAATATCATTGGAGGGCCAAATCCGCCCTCATCATTTGCCCCCCCACTCCCAAGCCGAAAGTAACTCGGCGAAGGGAGTAGATTTCTCCTTTTGGCCCGGAATGAATAATTCGATGAGCTCGTAAGCATTGATTCAATTCCTTAGGCTCTGGGAGCGACTCGCAGTTCGCTCCTTGATTTTTACCATGCGGAAGAGGCGACTGGGTCTTATGTGGTATTTTAGCCCTTAGGCTCTGGGAGTGACTCGTAGTCGACTCTCCTTGATCTTTGATTTTGCCCAGGCCGAAGAGGCGATTGGGTCTTATGTGGTATTTTAATCCTTAGGCTCTAGGAGCGACTTGTAGTCCACTCTCCTTGATCTTTGATTTTGCGCATGCCGAAGAGGTGACTGGGTCTTATGTGGTGCCAAAGTCTTTTATCAGTTTGCCTATTCGCACCTGGGCCAGGGTGCTAGGTCGGTGCCCATGCTAGGCTGCCAAGTCGGCGCATGTGCCAGGCTGCAAGGCTGCAAAAGGGCCAGACTGCGTCTGGGCTGCCAGGTTGGCGCCTTAGAGCTATGACTGCATTGCATCAACCTCATTAGTGACGTCGGTAACCCACTCCTACAAGAAGCTACTAGGAGCTCGACTTACGGGGGGCAGCACTACTGACTTTAGGTCACTAGCTCGCACAGGATCCTTAGAAGGCTCGACCGGCAGGGGCGTCCATGCAATCTGTTGGCCGCTTACTCCGGCAGAAGCCACGAAGAGCTCATCTTTGTAGAGGGTACCTCACGAAGATGATTGATGAGGCTTTATCGGAGATTAAATAAAGTTGGTAGAGCTGCTTAGTCTGTTAGCTATCAACTTCCTGCATAGTCTTTGAATTCATAAAAAATGGAAACTATAAAGCGAGAGTTTTAGTTTCTAAAAAGTGAGGACTTAGCCTTTTAGAGGATGAGAACTTAGCTTTTTGTTGTGTTTCCTAATGAGGGCGGATTTGACCCTCCAATGATATTGTGACACGTGGCACCTCAGAACAACTAGGTGACACCCGGAACCACTTTGGAAATAACTTGCCTTAGCTAAGTTGGTGGTGTCCCACCTGGCGGCCAGGCCCAGGCATGACCTGGCGGCCTAACCTAAGCGCCGACCTGGTGACCTACGAAACGTGCTCACCGACACTTCGACATGCATATCCTAACACTCCCACGATCCTTGGAAATTGGCCCACGTGCCGAACGATCCAAAGGGTGGTCAACGTGCATGAGGGTTACCTCCAAGAATCTCGAACCACTTAGACGACCTCGCAAAAATCTCGGATATGGTGCGTGAAACTCACGCCAAACAATGCCTATATAAAGGCACCTACCCCAATAGCAAGTGAGCAAGTAAGCAAGTAAACAAATTCTAGCTCTCATACTTTGTGATTTTTAGCTCGCAGTCTACTATGAGAGTACTGACTTAAGCATCGGAGCGGACCTCGCCGAGTTAGCTCGACACCTGGTCAGCCCGACACCTCACAGGCAGCTCGGCACCTAGGTAGCTCGGTACCTGGTCAGCTCGGCACCTGGTCAGCCTGGCACCTCATAGGCAGCTCAGCACTATAGTCAGCTCACCACCTAGCCTGCCCAGCTCGACTCAGCTCGGTAGCCAATGTTCTCCACTTAGGCCTGAGTCATCGGCCACTTGGAAGCAGACCAAATGACAAGGTACTTAGCACAAAAAATCGATCCATCAATTGGTGTCATCTGTGGGAAATGATGGATCGATTTTTGGTGATGGCCAATTTTTTGTGCTAAGAACCAAATCATTTGGTCTGCTTCCAAGTGGTCGATGACTCAGGTCGAAGTGGAGAACTTTGATTGCCGAGCTGAGTCCAGCTAGGCAGGCTAGGTGGCGAGCTGACTATAGTGCCGAGGTGCCTATGAGGTGCCGGGCTGCCTAGGTGTCGAGCTCACCAGGTACCGAGTTGCCCAGGTGTCGAGATGCCTATGAGGTGCCGGGCTGACCAGGTGCCGAGTAGCTTGGCGACGAGATGGATTGATGAGCTTCGTTGCTCTTTAGGGACCTACAAGGAACCAAATGTCAGAGGACCCAGGGTGGTTAACCCGGCAAGGTCGCTCCGATGCTTAAGTCAAAACTCTCATAGTAGACTGACTATGAGCTAAAAATCACAAAATATGAGATTTCTGCGATGTCGTCTAAGTGGTTCGAGATTCCTGGAGGAAACCGCCATGCACGTTGACCACCCTTCGGATCGTTCGACACGTGGGCTAACTTCCAAGGATCGTGGGAGTATTAGGATATGCATGCCGAATTTGTCAGTGAGAACGTCTCGTAGGTCGCCAAGTTGGTGCCTGTGCCAGGCCACCAGGTCGTGCCTAGACCAGGCTGCCAGCTCGTGCCTATGCCAGGCTGCCAACTCACACCAGGGCCAGGCCGCCAAATCGTGCCTATGCCAGGCCGCCAGGTGGGACACTGTCAACTTGGCTAAAGCAAGTTGTTACCAAAATGGTTCCGAGTATCACCTAGTTGTTCTGAGTTGTCATGTATCACAATATCGTTGTTGGAGGGCAAATCTGCCCTCATCAATTAGAGATTTGAATGTTTATTCTTCCAAATTCGTGGTCAGAGATATCCCCGACGTGATTTGGTTTCTGACATTTTTGTTGTATTTGTGAGATCTGAGATATTTGCTTTTGGTCTTCCACCACTGATAATAGGTTGGACCACCTGAAGACGAACAGATGACTTTTCTTGAAAAGATATGAACTGATCATAGGGGTTTGTTCTATTGATTACCGGATAGATGAATCAGAATTTTTTGCAGTTGTGGAGTGATTTTCTGATGCTGGGTGTAGAGGCTTCCAATCACTAGTTCATCTTCTGACTTGGTAAACCAGAAATGGCTTTCTTCGGCTCCATCATAGATTTCCATCACTAGTTTGTCTTCTGACTTAGTAGGCCAGAAATTGCTTTCTTCGGCTCCAACATAGATTGTTGGGAACCAGACTTCGAAGAGTTCAAAGTTTCTATATTCTTTCTTTCTCTCCTCAGTTACCTCTACGCCATTACAGACAAAGGAAAAAAAAAAAAAAAAACAAAAACAAAGAAGGAACCATAGAGAGGGAATTTGAACTTTTACATTTTCATAATCCCACTTTATTTTAGTAAATGAAGAAACGAAAATGTTGGCTAAGATGATGCCAATTAGGATGAAGAGGACTAGAACCATTTGTGAAAGAGAAAACCAGCATTTGTCGTTGCTTCTTCCCCGTTTGAAAACATGAAATCCCATTGCCCCCGATGCTCCCATCATCTGAGAAGAACAGTCAGAACGGAACCAAAAGCACACCCTTCCATTCTTCAACCCAAAACCTTGTCTGAACGAAAGAGAAAACCCATTGCTGCAATTTCTCACCATTGTTACTGTTTCTCTCTTCACCTGAGAAGAACAATCAGAACAGAAGCCCATCTCAGGATACCTTTCAAAGATAGGAATTTATCGTCTTGTGAGAAGTTTTCTTTAGTACATGTAAAGATTCTGAAAGGCAACTACTCAAATCCGCAGACAGAAGTTGGAATTTTGAGCACAAAAGAAAAATAACAATAAAAAGGATAAAAGGATGATACTAAGAAAGGTAACACATCTCATAAATTTGTTCATTTTCATAAACACCTGAAAGCATATTAGAATTTGACATTTTGAAAGTTTTAACTAAAGAGATTTACAAATCTAGCTTCTTGTCCCTCACTTGGGGACTCTTCGATACAATCATAAAGCATACTAATAAAGTTGAAATGATCTCAATCACTCACAAAATAAACTCAACCATATCACCTAAACATAGACGAAAAAGGCAATTGCCAAAGTTCTATGACACTCCACTAAACTTGAACAATTCATTCATTCAGGATAAAACATAAACTCAGGGAATGAAAATTTTATCACATTTCTAACGAAGTATAAATGACATCAACGCCACTAATATAAATCTCTTCAGAAATCAGAACAAACGAAAAAGAAAAGAGACCATATCATAGTATCATCAAACATTTAGCAATCAACTTCAGAGAATAGACATGCCAGGAACTAGGAGAGTCCAGGACGCCTCAACAAATGCCACCACGAAGACGAAGAACGAGGTGGAGGGTTGATTCCTTCTGAATATTATAATCCGCCAACGTTCGCCCATCCTCAAGTTGCTTCCCAGCAAAGATGAGCCTCTGCTGATCCGGAGGRATGCCCTCTTTGTCCTGGATCTTGGCTTTCACATTGTCTATGGTGTCAGAGCTCTCCACCTCCAGTGTTATGGTTTTCCCTGTAAGAGTCTTCACAAAGATCTGCATACCRCCACGCAGACGGAGGACCAAGTGAAGAGTAGACTCCTTCTGGATATTGTAATCAGCTAGGGTCCTTCCATCCTCTAGCTGCTTCCCTGCAAAGATAAGCCTCTGTTGATCTGGTGGTATTCCCTCCTTGTCTTGGATCTTGGCCTTCACATTATCGATAGTATCAGAGCTCTCCACTTCCAAAGTAACAGTCTTCCCAGTTAGTGTCTTGACAAAGATTTGCATGCCCCCACGAAGCCTGAGAACAAGGTGGAGGGTGGATTCCTTCTGAATGTTGTAATCGGCCAAGGTACGACCATCCTCAAGCTGTTTTCCAGCAAAAATGAGCCTCTGTTGGTCAGGTGGGATGCCCTCCTTATCCTGAATCTTAGCCTTAACATTGTCAATGGTGTCTGAACTTTCTACTTCAAGTGTGATGGTTTTCCCAGTAAGGGTCTTGACAAATATCTGCATTCCACCTCTGAGACGGAGAACAAGGTGGAGAGTGGATTCCTTCTGAATGTTRTARTCAGCCAGTGTCCTACCATCTTCAAGTTGCTTTCCAGCAAAGATAAGTCTCTGCTGATCAGGAGGGATTCCTTCCTTGTCTTGGATCTTGGCCTTGACATTGTCGATTGTATCAGAACTCTCAACCTCCARAGTAATGGTTTTCCCGGTTAGAGTCTTGACAAAGATTTGCATTCCACCCCTCAATCGAAGAACCAGATGGAGGGTGGACTCCTTCTGGATGTTGTAATCTGCCAAGGTTCGGCCATCCTCCAGTTGCTTACCAGCAAAGATAAGCCGCTGCTGGTCAGGTGGGATTCCTTCCTTGTCTTGGATTTTGGCCTTGACATTGTCAATAGTGTCGGAGCTTTCAACCTCAAGGGTGATGGTCTTGCCAGTAAGAGTCTTAACAAAGATCTGCATCTGCAACCACAGGGAGCAAAGAGATTTCAACAAAACTGGCAAATCAAAGAATAAAACTAAGCGCAGGAATATAGAAGAACATAAAATAGAGACTATTATTTAGATCCACTATGACAAACAAGGCTGTGCAATCAGGAAAACCAAAAGCCCTAAACCACAAAGGAGGAAATTTTCATAGTGTAAAAACTAAAAAGGCAACAAAACGATCAAATTTCTCTTCGCGACATCTTCATAAATTTAGAACTTAAATAAAAGGTTGCAGTAGTTGACACAGGTAAATTGCAAAAGCTTCTGAAAGCGAAAAGAGAAATAAGTCTTGCACAAAAAAACCTGACGAAATAAATAGAAACGATAAACCATAAAGAATCACATATACGATAGAAGAAAATGGAAACCCTAGGTATTCAAACACAGCTCGAATCGAAATAAAAGGAACATCCAAGCGGATGAAAACCACATAAACCAAAGAGAAAGAAATAAAGGAAAATGATTAAACAAAAATCATAAACAAAAGCCGATAAATCTAGAATAGAATTTTAGATCAAGAAAAAGAGAAAGGAAAAAAGCACTAGAGAGAAGAAAGAATCGTTGAGAAGAAGAAAAATCATGCATACCTTGACAGTGTAGTGTAATCTGAATGAGCAACACGGGAGGAAGGGCGCTGGAAGCGAATTTAGAACCGAAGAAAACTGGAAGAAGCTTATATATATCTCTTCGTATTCGATGATATTGCTCACGGGAGAGAAGAGACGGAAATTTATAGGCTTTCTTCGAGGAGGTCGGTAGTTCTTAGCTTTTGGTCTCCAACTCCATATGAGATGATGATTCTTACACGTTTCTAGTTGTTGGACCACACCGGACATTTCTAGAAGTTGCCAGAAGCCCAGAACCCAGAAGTGCCAACGTCAGTCAATAAAATTCGGGCCGGGTAACCGGGTTCAGTGTTCTCACCTCACCCGCACTTATACATCTGAGATTCCACCTTCTGGAAAATGATCGTGGATCCTGGGCCCTGGCCCTTGGGCCGTGTTTAGAGTGTTGTGTGTGTTTTTCTTATTTGAATGGGTTTGGAAAGTTATTTTTTTTTTCAAAAAAGTTTTTTGAGAATATGTGAAGTAAATAGTGTTTGGATGGATGGTTTTTTAATCTAAATAGTTTATTGGGTAAAATATAAAGTCCTCTGCCCTGAATTTTCTGACAATCATAACAACCTCCCCTCTGGTTTCACAAAAACTTCGGTTACCTCCCTTTCATCTTCGTTCTAGTAATGTAGATTTCACATTTACGAAATTATTCTTACAACTTATTAGGGCATTTTCAATATAATTCAAAATACCAGATTTCTCCTTTAGACTTCATAGACCTAACTTTTGATAGAGTAAAATTGATTTATTCTTTTGAACAAGAAATATTTTTAATTAAAAGTAAATTCCCATCTGAATTGATAGATAGATGTAAGGGGGTAAAATGGATATTTTTGAAAACTAATGCATGAGGCAAGGTTTTCCATCCAAGACAATAACATAAGGGAGATAACTGCAGGTTTTTTCAATATTACAGGGGAAGTTTTTGTGAAGTTGAAACCTCAGGGGAGGTTTTTCTATTTTACCCTTATTTTATTTTATTTTTTAAGATGCTAGAAGATCATTTCAAACTTTTCCATCAAATTTTTACCCTCCTCCCCCCAAAAAAACATTTATGCCTTTTGGCTTCTCTAACGTGAAAACCTTTATGTCTTGATGTTTTTATTTTTTATTTTTTTTTGCATAAAAGGGCATATTTTGTATAAAAACATTGTGTGTTATTGAGATTTGAGGTCATTTTTGGAACATAGCCTTAAAAATAAGCAGTGATTAAAATCCACTTGGTAAGGCACTTTTCGGGGTGCTTTTTTCCAAGGCTGCATTTGGAAATAATACAAATGGAGTGTAAATCCCAGTTCACGGTAAATTTGCATGTATTTGGCAACATTATATTTATGCATTGACAAATGACAGAAAATACATTTTCCAATGCATATTTATATTGATAATAAGATGTAAAAATACATTAATAAAAAAGAAGTAAATTTGATAAAAAAGGTATATACTTTATTAGAATTTGTGTTTACATATATTACAGTTGAAAGTCTATTTAGTAAGAAGGTAAAATTATCTGAGCAAAATTAAACGCATCCTAATGAAAAAAGCACTTATTTGATAACATTGTGAGGTTCAAAATGGGCTTTTGCTAATATAAAGACAATATTACCCTTCATTGTTATAATCATAAAAAACATGTATAAATACCGTTTTATCCCTATTAAATAACATTTTCTTTGCTACCAATAATTTGCCAAGTCAATGGATGTTCTCACACCAGCTTCACATGGTTTAATTGACCCCAAACCACATTTGCTCGATATAATTGAAGTCCCTTCTTATAACTTATAGTGTTAAAGACAATATATAGCTAGATTTAACATAAAAAATAAAATAAACTTTGTAATGCCTTGGTTCATTGCAAAAACCACCATTGGAGGTGTTTGATGCAAAACAAATAACAATAAAAGGAGAAAAAAAAATGAACGAGATGGAGTAGTGGGAATCAATATTCGATCAATTATTTAGGAGAAAACAAGAAAAAATGGTATCAAACTTGATTGTAGCTCGCCACCACTATAAGTGGTGAGAAGTGAAGATGGAAAGTAAACATGTGGAAGAAAATGGGGAGAGGGTTTTAGAGTAGACTAGGCACTATCATTATTAAGAAAAATTTAGGGGGCTGTCTGGCATCATTGTCGTTTCCTGGAGCAACGGCGTCACATCAGTGCTATATCGGAAAAAATGGTGCTCTAGGAAACAGACATTTGTTTGGAACCATTTTTCCATAAAAAATGGTGCTCCAAGCCATGTCTTAAAAATCGGGAAGCCATGGCTTGGAGCAACACCAAATTTGGCATTTTCTGGAGCTGCAGTTCGTTGCTGCCAACAGGATAGCGGTGTAGCACTAGATAATGGGTACCAGTGCTGAAAACGTTTCCTGGAGCAATGGTACCAAACAGAAAAAATTGTTGTTGCTCCAGGAAACATCCTACCTAGCAGCAACGATTCCAAACAAAAATAAATGCACCATTTTCTAATAAAACGGTGCTCCAAGCCACACATCAGCAGCACCCTTTTCTGATAAAAGGTGCTGCAACTGCAGCATCAATGCCAAACATATACTAGATGAACAAAAACGGGATGAAAAAAAAATAAGAAGCACTTGTTGAAAACTCAAGAAGCCAGAATCCGCCCATCAACTGCCTTTTCTATTGAGCTTTTTTAGTGGAAAAATATCATTCACTTCTTTTTTCACCAAGCCCATTTTGTATGTGCTTTTAGCTTCTAAAATGCAATAAGCAACCTAAATTATTTAAACCTCCCCTATAATTGCTTTAACCTCTCTCTACCAAGCCCATTTACTTCTAATTAGTTTTTAACGTTTTTTTTTTTTTTTGCTTCATTAATCTTTATGTGTTGACTTATTTGATAGCTAATCAGGAATAACCAAAGAAGATCCAATTCATTCTCACCATCAGTTTCCCACAAAGGAGTACACAACAAGAAGTCAATCATAAATTTCATATCTTTCTAGGCAATGATATATACCGGGATTTGTATGTATTCTTAATGTAGATCATTAGATATTTAGGTCCGTTTTGTTTATTGTTGGAATTGGAATTAAAATCCTCTGGAATCAGAATCAGAATGGTCCATTCTCATAGTTTGTTTGGTTCAGACAGAACGGGAATGGGAATTCAAATCAGTAGCTAGGAATGGGATTTCATTCCCAAGGGAGGGGCAGGGAATGACCATTCCCTCAAATGGGAGAATGCCATTCTAGCAGGAATGGGAATGGGATTTCGATTCCGCCCAACCAAACAGTTGGAATCGAAATAGCCCATTCCGATTCCGACTCCAAACCCCTATTCCTGAAAACCAAATGGACCCTTAGGTTCTAATGATCTAAAGCATTGGAATTCAAGGAATATTGTAAGCGGTGTCGATTTGGCAATGGTCGCTAGGGAACGGCGAATACACAGAGAGATTGTCTTAGCCATATGTTTGGTTATGTAAGGTTATATCTTTCAAATATCTCCATTGCATTGATTATTGGTAAAGATAAGGATGGCAATTTTTACCTTATTCAGTGGGTGCCGATCCTTATCCTCCCTGACGGGGCGGGTTTTTTTTTGTTTGAATGACAAGTTTTGGAGCGGTAACGAGTTTTGGGATTCTACAACCCATACACGTACAGGTAGGATATGGTATTAGGCTAAACCCCACCCACCCCCACCTGCATATTGTTGGAAAGCATATAAACTTTATGTACTAGGTGAATTTTATGTAAAAGATAATTGATAGCGTATATGTTTTTTACCTATCTTAATCAAATAACTGAAAATTTTGCTGTTTATTTGTATTATTTTACTTATTTATTGTCTATACATGACAAGAAATAATAAGAAATTAAATGTGGATTCTAAACCCAACCAGCCCCTACACTTGAATGTGGGCAAGGTAGGGAAGGGAAAGGTTTTGCATTTTCATGTACGGGAAGGGATTGCATTCTCAAAATCTAACCCACTATGGGTTTTAGGGCAGTTACAAGCTGAGATGTTTAGGGAAGTGGGTAGGGTTTAGAATTTACAAAACTGGCCCCATTGCCATCCCTAATGGAAAGTTGAATTGGAGGTGGGTACCAAAGAAAGGACTGCATTGGAGGAAATCTAGAGAGCAGAATAAGCAAATTAATAATGTGGTCATTTTAGTCTTCTACATTCCTCAATTTCATATAGGTGTCCAAGACTGTTGTTATACCAACCATTTCTCATGTCTCCTTTCGTCTTTCCCTCTCACATCTCCCTTAGAGTCTTTTTCTAACAAACCGTTTTTATATACCACAATTATAATAATAAAATTATTAAAAATTACACAACACTAATAATCAAAAATAATTCTTGAGGTGGTCTGAACCAGGTGGGCCCAAATGTGAATGCCATAAGCTCCTTTTGATTTAGTCTTAATTAACAAAGCATGTGCATCGCACGGGTAGTGACTAATTGTTTACCCATGATGTATAATTAAAAATATTTTTTTTAAATAGAATAATACAAAAAAATATGAAGCAATTTTGGGCACATCTATAACATTATATACTAATAATATAAACAAAAATAAGTATGATAAATAATAAGTATTTTATCAATGATATAAATGAAATGCAAAATTTAAAACCAATTTGAAAATGAAACCATTTTCATATCTAGATGGTAGGTAGGTCAATGATCGGGTCAAATGGGTTAATCTATGATGTCATAATTAAGTAATGAATATTATATATATATATGTGTGTGTGTGTGTGTGTGTGTGTGTATGTATGTATGTATGTATGTATGTATGTATGTATGTATTTATGTATGTATATATTCACCATATTTTCGTACAGTTCTATTGTTATATATTCACTATATTAAACAAAATAAATGTGAAAATAATAATTACTTTTATTGATGATGAAAATGGAATACATGATTTAAAATTAATTAAAAAAGCAAAATATTTTTTCTATCCAAGTGGTGGGTTAGTGGTTAAAATATCATAGTCAAATGGATCAACACATAATGTTATTATTAAATAATAAAATACATAAAATTCTAGAAAAATGTAGAAATTTATTGATAATTTTGGGTACAATATATAATATTATATATTCATCATATAAAAAAGTGTGATTAATGAGAATTATTTTCATTAATGATAGA